GGTGACAAAATTAGCAACGATTCAAACACCCGCAAGAACGAAAACCGTGGACGCTGACGGTGCAAAACCACGTGACGCGAAAGGAGCTTGTGATTGGACATCACGACAGCCGCATGCCCCCAACCAAAGCCAAAGCCACTGCCATCTGGTTGATTCTGACTCGAGGTGACAGGGGAGGGGAGGGTGCCCTATAGGACAGGGTAGAGCTGCCTCCGTGGGCTTCCGAGGCTGTCACTCTATGGGAGGAAGGAGCCTCAACTGTCTGCCCTCGAGTGGCTGATGGACTGGGCACTTGACAGCCCAAACAGAACCATTATGGCACAGGGCTCAAAGAGTACATCAGCACCCAAGTTTAGTTCTGTTGGCACATTGGCACTAGTCTACTCCTAGGAAGGGGTCCCGGTGACACAAAGGGCCTGGTACCAGATTGGAACCCACCAGCCACTCACGAGAGAGAGGTGAGGCCGTGGGCTTCCATCGAGACGGACAGCCAGCACACACTGTGGGGCGGCGTTTCTCTGTCCTCGGGGGGCGCCAGGAGTCAGAGCCAACTCTGCCCCTGGGATGGTAAAAACAACAACAACGCTGTGGTTGTTACAACTACATTCAGGGAGATTATTATTAAAAATAATACATTTCTGCTAAATTATGGCACGAACAGTTTCTGGACGGTCCTTTCAGCCTTACCCCGACAGGACCACCGGGTGTGGTCTGAAAGTGACCAGCAGCTCCACAGCAGCAAGCGTGGCCGTCAGCTGCTGTGAGGACTCACGGCCCTGGGAAGTCTATGACGGGCACTGCCCCGTCATCCAGAGGGTGACGTGCAATGAGAACTAACAAGATGGCCGCCTCGTGCCCCAGCCCTCTGCAGGGTCCCTGCTTCCTGTGATGAGCTCCTCAGGTAGATTACCTGCTGTCTTCCGGTCCATTCTGACTCATAGGCACCCTGCAGAACGGAGGAGAACACCCCGTAGAGTCGCCAAGCCTGTGCATTTGTATAGGAGCCCACAAGCTCAGCTTTCTCCCAAAAGCAGCTAGAGGGTTTGAACCACTGACCTTCATCATTAGCAACCCAGTGCTCCTTCCGGATCACCTAGCAGTCTGACATCTGTTTATCTCAGTGAAGGGTTCAATAGACCAGGTAAGATTAGCCAATGGCGAATCCTGCATTTCTCCCTAATCTCCACTTCATAAGCATCCGTCCGTGTAACTCCAGGCCATTCTCTGTTGGCACTGCTGGTTGGGCCTGAAGCGACAAACCTGTAGCAGACAAGCACAGCCCTTAGTGCTCATGGTTTCTGAAGGTTCATGTTGTGTCGATCATAAACCATGTGGCAATAGAGGTCTCTGTGGATAAGGCTATCTTAAATTAGCTTTTGTTGATTGTTTTAATTACAAAAGTAATATGCAGTCCTCTTTGACAATGTTGATGATAGAGATAATCAAAAAGAAAATATCCTTTCGCTACCCAACAAAAACTCTTGTAACTATTTCTTTTTATCAGGATATATGATTCTAGTTCTTTTTATGCATAATTTTTGACAACGATTAGATTTTATTGTATGTGTTGTTTTATTTTTAGAAGCATCGATTGATACTGCACTTTTTGTATAACTTGCTTTTCCCCACCTTAACCGTATATTATAAATATCTTTCCATTTTATTACTTTTCTACAACCCTTTGTGTGGATGTATGTACTTACCTGAGCTAATCTTCTGTTTTCCTTCTGATAGTTTGCTGTTTTAGGTGGAGCTGTGGCGTTGCCCATGTCTAGTCTCTATGCACTTGTGTGATTACTCTATTTCCTTAAGGTGAATCCCTGCAACTGGAAGGGTAGGTCAAGAGATACACAGATATACTTGGAAGGGTACTATGAGTAGAATTACCAGTCTACGCTAGTGGAATTCTTTAAAA